TGGCTCATTCAGCAGCCCTCTTACCTCTAAGTCAGAAGGTTATGGGTTCAAGTCCCACGTCGAGACATTGAACTCACACAGTCTAGGCTGACACTCCAATGCAGTGCTGGGGCTGGGCTGCATTTAGAATAAGATATTTAAACCAAGGTACCTGCCTGTTCAGGTTGACGTTAAAGATTCCCTGGAACTAAGTCAAAAACAGTTGTGAGTTTCTCTCTCAGTCTCCTGCCCAACAACTCCCCAAATAAAATTGGTTGTTCACTTCCTAGCTGTTGTGGGACACTGCTTTACGCAAAATTGGCTGTGGCATTCACCTACAAATACACAGTCATTACACTTCACAGTAAAAAAATAATAATTTGATCACTCAATCCATGACTGTTTGTGGGACTCTGCTGTGCGCAATCGGCTGCTGCGTTTTGCCCACAAAATATACAGTCAATTCACTTTACAATATATTGTGTGAAGCCCTTTGAGAGGTTTCAAAGACGTGATCAGGTGCTATATCAAATACAAAGATCATTATTATTAAAAATCCTATGAAGTGATTTGAGACATCTCCTCCACGTGATAAGGCACTGGTATTAAAAGCAAGGATTATTATTATTCAATGCCTTGTTAATGAGACGTTTGGCTGCTCTCTTTGCTGTCTAACCACGGACCGAGAAGGACTAATATCCCGAGTGTGACCCTTAACTGGCCTTTTCAACCTCAAGTGGGCAGTGCTCACAGTGGTGTAAACCAAACATTCAAAGCATCAGTCAATGTGAAGAGGTGCATATTTTCTTCTATTCTATAGTGCGATTGTCAACGGTGAGGATAAGCATCCCAATAAATTAAGTTGCGCACAGATGGCCATGTAGGGCTGGAGAGCAGGCAGAGATGTCAGCTCTCTGAGCCTCTGAAACTGTACATGCTCCTGGTTATTTACTGCTCCCAGACTCTTCTTAACGCAAGTGAACTCTCAGCATCCAGAGCCTGCGGTGCAGCTCAGAGCATAAACACCCGCTCAGTGCATTCGGACCTCGGCTCCCAGTGTGGAAAATTTTGAAGTGTGGCTTTTGGCAAAGCCACAGCAAGCAACAATGATAATAACAGTCTTTGCATTTGATAGAGCGTCTTATCACGTCTCAACAGAATATACTGTAAAGTGTAGTGACTGTATATTTTGTGGGCAAAATACGGCAGCCAATTGTACACTACAGTGTCCCACAAACAGTCGTGGATGGAGTGACCAAATTATTATTTGAATAATTTATAATAATAAATAATCCCTCTTTTAGGAGGGATTATTTCCCCCAGAAAGCGATCCGCTAATCGACTAACAACTGGCTTTCTACTTATTGCTAAGTAAACAGAGGCGTGTGGATTAAAGACACTTGCCTAAGGTTTCGCCCTGCCTGGGTCCTCTCACTTGCCAAGGCGAGCGCTCTAACCAATTTGCTACAGGACTCCACGGTAAAATAACAGTAAAAGGCAGGTCCCCTCCGCTTTAAAGAGTAGAATTCCCTGATAGGACAGCGAGCACTGCAAAGAGTTGACAGCCACATAGCAGCTTTCGATTCTCCTCCAGTCCAGCTGTGCCAGCGTGGCTCAGTCTGTCGCGCTCTCACCTCCAAGTCAGAAGGTTGTGGGTTCAAGCCCCATGTCGGGACTTGGAATCACGTAGTGTAAACTGACACTCCAGTGCAACGCTGAGGTGGAGTGTTGCATTGAGGTGCTGTCCTTCAGATGAGACCTTAAACTAAGGTCCCGTCTGTCTGTTCAGCTGGACATTAAAAATCCCATGGCGCTTTTCAAGAAGAGAAGGGAGTTTTCTCTCCCAGTCTCCTGCCAACAATGCCCCAAATATACTTGGTCACTCACTCCATGGCTGTTTGTTGAATCTTGAAAGCTCTGATTTGAATTTTTAATTCATCTGTTAATTCATTTGGTATGGAGCCTTTCTCGTCAGGAGGATATCTCAAAGCAGTTCAAAGGATTTACTATAAAGTGCAGGGCCTATGTATTTTGCAGGCCGAGCGACAGTGAATTTGCATACAGCAATGTCCCACAAACAGCCACGAGGGTATGACCAGTTTAATTTGGAGGATTGTTATTTGGAGAAAGAAAATCCTTTCTCTTTTCGAACAGTGCCACGGGATCTTTAACATCCATCTGACCAGGCAGACGGGACCTTGGTTTAATGTCTCATCAGAAAGACAGCACCTCCGACAATGCAGCACTCCCCCTAGCACTATATTGGAGTGTCAGCCTAGACAATGTGAGATCAAAGTCCCAACGTGGGGTTTGAACCCACAAACCTGTAACTGAGGTGGAGGCGAGAGTGCTCAATTTGATTCTGAAGGGTTAGCGGTAACAAGGACAGCGCTTATACAAAAGACACATAACACGTGCAGTAAAACCCAGCAAAGGTTTCGTGTTCAAAAAAAGTCAGAGGCGAGGGCAAGAGGTTTCGAAAGTCATCATGGTCTTAGCTTTAAGACCATTGCTTCCCAATCAAAGCCGTGAGGGAGGGAGGCAGTATTATGGGAAGTAACTGTTAAATTCAGCCTTACTTTGGTAACCGGCTCCTAAAGTGAAACCACGGAACTCCGTCTTTCAAATGAAGCTGAATTTAAGACTTATTTCCCTGAATGTCTGCCACGATCTTAAAATTGCCTTCAGGAACAGATCCTGACAGCGATGTCCTCTCAATCGTCGTGTTTCATCATTTGAAAGACAGCAACGAATGTTCCTTAAGACACGAGCCTAATAAATAACAAGTGTTTACTTTGAGACACAATAAATGGAACGGTTTCGCCAGCAAGGCTATTTCAGGCATGCCGGCCTCCTGCACAAGTCAACAGTAAATCAGCCATTAAGAATATCTCTAAAGCAACACAGCTTATCGTCCAGATGGAAAAAATACGAGTCTATCAGGCTTGCAATTCCACCCAGTCCTGGACTTGTTTTTGTCTTACAATCTCTTAAAGGCAATTCCACACCACCTTAAATTTAATGATAATAATCCTTGCATTTGATATATAGCGCCTTATGACATCGTTGGGACATCCCAAAGTGCTTCGCAGAATGTATTGTAAAGCGGATTGACTATTTTGTGGGCAAAACGCAGCAGCCAATTGCACACAGTAATGTCCCATAAACGGACGTGTAATGAGTGACCACATTTTGCGCTGTGCGCAATTGGTTGCCGTGTTTCGGCCACAAATATACAGTCAATTCACTTCAGAGTATATTCTGTAAAGCGCTTTGAGACGTCTCGAAGACGTGAAAAAGCGCTGTATCAAAATGCAAGGATTATGATTTGGGGGGGGGAATTTATTGCCCCCGGAAAGCGATCCGCCAATCGACTAACAACCGGGTTCCTACTTACTGCTTGTAAACACAGGCGTATGGAGTAGGAATCAAACCCAGGTCCTCTCACTTGTGAAGCAAGCGCTTGCTCTAACCGCTATATGACAAAATGGCCTCACAGACAAGGAGTAGGTGGAATTTCAGACCCAACACCTGAAACAGGAGGGGAAACTGAGGGCAATCGAAACACTAACACTGTGGTTGAAGAGCAGCTCTGCTCGGTGGTATTGCACAATAAGCAGTTAAAAAATTGTGAGAACGAAAAAAGTTGTGATCAGTAAACAATTTAGCTCTCTGTCACCGCAAAGTGATAAACAATGAACAACAGGCACATTGGTTTCTGGAATTCAATGATCGTATCGTGTTTTTCGTTGCCAGCAGAGAGACCCAGAATTCCACTCGTTCGTACCATTTTTGTCTAAAATCCCGCGAACTTGCTGGCATGTCTTGAATCCACTCTGAATTTGGACCTCGGTCTCATTCTAAGGTAAGACCACTTTTCAAATCAACAACAACTTGCCTTTGTGTAATAATAATAATAATCAGAATTCTTGTATTTCATATAGCTCCTTATCACGTTGTTGACAAGTCTCAAAGCGCTTCACAGAATATGCTGTAAAGCGTGTTCAGTGTGCATTTTGTGGGCAAAATGCGGTAGCCAATTGCGCACAGCAGTGTCCTGCAAATAGTCGTGGATTGATTGACCAAATTATTATCATTATTAATTTTTAAATGGATTAGGACCCCCGGAAAGCCGTCCGCCAATCGACTAACAACCGGGTTCCTACCTACTGCTGGGTAAATAGAAGCGTGTGGAGTAAGGAAACGGGAAGCACAGGGTAACATCTCAAAATGCTTCACAGTGATGTGGTCAGAGGGTGGGCGGGAGGGGGGAGGGATGAAGGGTGAGGTGACAATAGGTAAGGGGTGGGGGTGGGGACGCAAGGAGGGGTATATGTGGACCTCCAGAAACTAGGAACATAGTTGCTGAAAACTTGTTCATTGATGGTCATGCAGAGAAAGCGTTGGGAGTTGGGGAGGGGACATGAAGTTAGCCGAATGGAGAGGATAATGCAATACAATACAATACAAATTGACATTTATAATGGTGCCTTTCATGTCAAGACGGCGCTTAATTAGCAGTGGAGCAAGGAATGAGAGCTGAGGAGGTTGGAAGGGGGGGGGGGGGATGACAAAAAGCGCGGTCAAAGAGACAGGTCTTGAACGAGGTGAGGGAGGGACCTAAAGGAAGGTCTTTAGGCAGAACCTGAAGTTGGGGAAGAAGGGGGCAAGGCGGAGGGATAGAGGAAGAGTGTTCCTGAGTTTCGGGGCGTAGCAGCTGAATGTGCGGCCACCGATGGTGGAACAGAGGGCAAGAGGGACAAGCAGGAGGTCAAAGCCAGTCGAGCGGAGACAGCGGATAGTGGGGTGGGGAGTAAGCAGGTCGGAGGGGCATGAAGGGATTTGTAACCGAGTGTGAGGAACTTGAAATCAAGATTAGTTCTGCAATTCTGCACCAAATTGGAAACCTTAAAGACAAAAATGGTGGAATTTTGAGCCTCCGGCCATCTTTATTTTTTTTTCCCAATAAACATTTTGGTGAACGATAAATCAAAAAGAGAGAAGAAAGCAACAGTTCTAACCACTTTGTCCTCCTTTTGAAAAGCATCCGAGGAAGCAAGAGGGAAAGAGAACAGAGAGAAAGAGAGAAAGAGAGAGAGGAAAAGAAGAGAGAGAGAGAGAGGGAGAAAGGAAGACAAGCATTAATCGATAGGCTGGAAAATAGAGGCGTGAAAAAATTTAAACAGAGCAAAATCCACATAACATTGCAGCACAAAATCACAAATTAATATTTTCGTTAACAACATGAACAACAAATTACATTTGCATTGTGCCTCCCGCATCGGGAGGACATCCAAAGGTGCTGAACAGTCACTAGGGTTTGGACCCGAGCTGGGGGTTGGGATCAGAAGGTTGGGAAGGGGTAGTAAGGTGCGGTCGAAGAGGAAGCTCTTGAGATGAGCCTTGAAGGAGGCAGAGGAGGGAGCGAGGTGAGGAGACTACAGGATGGAGGATGGCGTTCCAGAGCCTGGGGGAAGAGAGGCCAATTGCGGGGTGGGGGAACGTGGAGCAGACCGGAGCCTGCTGAGCGTAGACATGGAATTAGCAGGTCACGGGGGTGAGAGGGGAACTGTGTGGGGGAGGGGAGGAAAACGGCTTCCGAACTAAGAATTTAGCATAATTCGTTGCCGTCTGAATTTTCAGTCGCGCGTTTAGAATAATAATCCTTGCATTTGATTTTGTGCCTTATCTCGTCTTCGAGACGTCGCAAAGCGCTTCACAGGATACGCTGTAAAGTGAATTGACTGTGTATTTTGTGGACGAAACACGGCAGCCAATTGCGCACAGTGGTGTCCCACAAACAGTCGTGGATTGAGTGACCAAATTTTCTTATGGTGGGGGAGGGATTATTACCCCCGGAAAGTTATCCACCAATCGACTAACAACCAGGTTCCTACTTACGTTCAGGGTAAACAGAGGCGCGTGGAGTAAGGAAACTTGCCTAAGGTTTCATCCCGCCCTGGAATCAAACCCGGGGCCCTCTCGCTTGTGAGACGAGCGGTTAACCACTACGACCACTACGCTGCAGGACCTCACATAAAAGGGACATGGGGAGTGGGGGGGGGTGTGAGGGGGGGTGGGAGGAGAGGGAAAAGGATTGAGGCTGCAGCAAATCCCCAGTGGTAACAGAACAGTTCAGTTGCTGGCCAGTGACAAACACGCCCCACGCGATGGTCGGCCGGGCTACGATCGGCAACTACTCACGTTGTTGGAGCGCAGAGTGACCCGTCCCCCGCACCGAGCGCAGAACTTGGTCTGGCAGTAAGAACAGAAGTGGCCGCAGCCATCCGCAAACTTGGTTTTGAGGCAGATCCCGCAGGTGGGTGCGTCATCCTTATGCTCCCCCTGGTAGTGACGTGCGTCGTCGCCGATCTTCCTGATCTGCTCCTTGTAGCTTTCAAACTGCTGGTGTAATCTTCTGCAGAGAGGTTGGGTGAGGGGGAGGGGAGAGAAGGTAATAATAACAATCCTTGCGTTTGATTTAGCGCCTCATCGCGTCGCAGTGATGTCTCAAAGCGCTTCACAGAACATATTGTAAATACTGCGGATTTTGTGGGTGAAACACGGCAGCCAATTGCGCACAGCAGTGTCCCACAAACAGTCATGGATTGAGTGACCCAATTTATTTTGGGGGGAGGGATTATTATCCCCAGAAAACGATCCGCCAATCGACTAACATCCGGGTTCCTACTTACTGCTGGGTAAAGCAGAGGCGTGAGGAGTATTGGAAGGAAACTTGCCTAAGGTTTCACCCCGCCCGGGAATCGAACCCGGGACCTTTCTCTTGCCAGGCAAATGCTCTAACCATTACGGAATTGGGACTCCACAGAGAATGGTGGTGGGGGAGGGGTGGGGGAGGGGGTTGGTTGGATGGGCAAAAGAAGGACACAACATGCGAGCTTGCTTTTTTTCCCCCTCTCTCACTGGTCCCCCATTTCGGAGGGCATGGAATCTTGCCCAACATTTCACCTCGCCCGGGAATCAAACCCCGTGATCTCACCACGAAGCTACAGGACTCCACAAGTACAAATACAGATGCTAAATACAAGGATTGTTATAGATGAGAGTCTATCAGTGTCCAAATAACTAACGTCAACCAACCAGACCTCACCTTCTCATCCCCTCTCCCCCACTCCAACAAAGCTCCCTCCACCATGCTCTTCATAGCATCAGATTGGTGTGTGAGCAGTGGTCAAGGGTTTTGACAAGTTGAATAGGGAGAAGCAATTTCCACACAATGTAATAATAATAATCCTTACATCTGGGACAGTCTTTCACGTCAGAAGAATGTCTCAAAGCAATACTGAACTACTCTTCTGCGGATTTCCTATGTGTCGTGCTGCCACCTTGTGAACAGGAAGCGTAACTGACGGGCACACGCAATAAAAGCCAGGAGCCACATAGAGCCATTGGGATAAAGTTTGTATTATCCACCCACTATAAACATTATTGCTTAATTTACACAGATAATGACCTGTTAATCACTCTCATAACTCCTCCTCTCTCTCTGACCCTCTACCCGCAGTGATCCTGATGCAGCCGTCAAGCTGCTGAATGACCATCTCTCCACCACCTTCAATTCCCTGATTCCCCTGAAATCCAGGGTTGTTTCCAAATCTACTCACTCCCTCTGGTACAACAGTCATCTCTGCTCACTTCAAACCCATAACCCGGACGCTCGAGCGCAGATGGCAGAAATCTGGCCTCACGATTCACCGCCATCCGTGGCTCGAGCACCTCCACACCTACAGCCTCTCCCTGTCACAGGCCATAACTGACTTTTACTCCAAAGTCATCCTGGAGGCCAAAAACAACCCAAAGGCACTGTTTTCCACAGTGCATCACCTGCTCAAGCCCCCTCTATCCTCATGTCAAACGGAAGAGGTCCTAGACTTCTTCGCCCTAAAACTTGCATTTGGCTGCATCATTCTCCCCCACCATTTCCCCTTCAATCCCACTCAGATCATCCACACCGCCTTCTCCCTCCACCACGGCTCCTGCCACTCCCCACTCCTTACACTCCTCTGCCCCCATTTCTCTCTCCCTCTCAACCACAATCACCCGTATGAAGTTCACCACATGTTGCCTTGACCCTCTCCCCGCCCCCCAGCTGCTGGTCACTCAACTCCCCCTTCTCTCCCCCCTGCTGGCTGACACCGTCAAGCAGTCTCTCTCCCCAGGTTTTGTTACGCTCCCCCTGAAAGCTCATCCTCAAAAAACCCACCCTCGATCCCTCTATCTCTCACACTACCATCCCATCTCCAACCTACCCTTCCTTGCCAAAGTCCTGGAACGCATTGTTGTAGGTCAACTTCGGTCATATCTCTCCCTCCACTCCCTCCTCGAGCCTCTGCAGTCTGGTTTCCACCCTGACTGTCCACAGCACAGAGACAGCGCTTGTCAAAGACACGAACGACGTCCTCTCTATTTGTGACCAGGGCTCCCTCTGCCTCCACGTCTTCTTGGATCTCTCTGCCGCTTTCAACACAGTCGACCACGCCATCCTCCACCGTCAGCTCTCCTCCTTCTCCTCCCTTAATGGGTCCGCACTCGCATGGTTCGAGTCCTACTTAACCAACCGCCTCCATTTCATCTCAGCAAATGGTTTCTCCTCCCACCCCACCGCCCGCCCGGTCACCAGGGCTCCATCCTTGGCCTCTTCTTTTCCTTATTTTCCTTGATGTCATCAGCAGACACGGGGTAAACTTCCACAGATGACAGACAAATCGATTTTGCCTCCTCCAGCACCAACTCCAGGTCCCCGATGTTCATCAGGTTGTCTGGCAGACACCAGGACCTGGATGAGTGTAAGCTTCCTGCAGCTGAATATGGACAAGACGGAAGCCACGCTCCTTGGTTCCCATCAACGTCTTCACTTCTGCGGATCTAAACTCCTCAACTTCCCTGGGCTCAGACTCACCGAACCAGTGCGCAACCTAGGGGTCCGGTTTGACCCCCAGCTGTCCTTCCTCCCCCACATCCGGTCTCTGACCAGGACTGCCTTCTTCCACCTCCGCCACATTGCCCGCCTCCAACCGTACCTTACCCCAAATGCAGCTGAAACCCTTGTGCGTGTGTTTGTCACCTCCCAACTGGATTACTCCAACGAACTTCTCGCTGGTCTCCCCAGCTCCACCATTCACAAGATCCAGCTTATTCAGATCTCTGCCGCCCGCATACTGACCCGGACCAAACTCTGTACCCACATCTCACCAGTTCTGGCCCAGGCTCCACTGGCTCCATATCACCAAACTGATCGACTTCAAGATCCTCACACTCGCGTTCAAATCCAATGCCAACCTCCTCACACCCCAGTCTACCACCTGGCGCCTCTGCTCGACTGGCAACAGCCTCCTGCTCGTCACTCGCACCCTCCGCCCCACCATCGGAGGTCGCGCTTTCAGCCACTATCCCCCAAAACTCTGGAATATTCTCCCTCAATCCCTCCGTCTTGCCCCCCCCCTCCTCTCTTTCAAGTCCCGCCTGAAAACTTTCCTCTTCGACCGTGCTTACGGCCACCTCCCCCCTCCCCCTCCCCAGCTCGGAGTCAGGCTCCACCACTGTCAATCGCTCCGAGACACTATCCTGCGTGCAAGTTGTTGTTGTTGTAGCTCCGTCTCGCTGCTCTCATTACCTGTCAATCGCTCAGCATGCCACTCTCATGACTTGTCAATCACCCTACCCGCAGGTCCGCCTCTCTGCTCTTTTAACCTGTCAATCGATCGTGTAGCTCCACCTCTCTGCTCTTATAACCTGTCAGTCACTCCTGCAGCTCCGCCTCACCTCATCCCTTCTGCGATCCGTTAATCAACAGCAACAACAACTTGCATTTATACAGCACCCTTCATGCGGAGCAGTGTCTCGGAGTACTTAAAAGTGGTGGAGCCTCGCCGAGCTGGGAAGAAGGGAGGAGGTGACTGTTTGCAGAGGAACAACAACAACAACAAGATTACATTTGTATAGCGCCTTTCACATCGGGAGGGTGTCCCAAGGAGCTGGACAGTGTACAGCATTTCAGACCCGAGCTGAGGTCGGGGGGGGTGGAGGAAGGGGAGGGGAGTGGGGGGGCCAAGACGAGGGTCTTGAGGCGGGACTTGAAGGAGGCTAAGGAAGGGGCGAGGCGGAGTGATTAGGGGATGGAATTCCAGAGATTGGGGGCGGTCTTCAGTCGTGATCTAAAGCAGGGGAAGGAGGGGGCAAGGCGGAGGGATTGAGGGAGAGAGTTCCAAAACTTTGGGGCATAATACCTCCCAAAACTATTCGAAAAAATTCGAAAGGATTTATCTACACTAATAATAATAATAGTTTCCCCCACATAAGATACAGTCGTTACGCTTTATAGTATATCCTGTGTAGTGCTTTGGGATGTCTCGACAATGCGGTAAAGCGCTATATCAAATTAAAGGATTATTATTATTAATATAACGATAGTAACCATCTTGCCTTTGGTACAGCATCTTTCACAACGGGTGATTGTCCCAAAGCACTTCACAGGATATACTATAAACAGCAATGTCCCGCAAACGACCATGAGATGGGTGACTAATCTTTTAGAATTGTTGGCCAGGCAGCCAGGAGAGAAAGAAACTCCCTTCCCTTTTGAAATAGTGCCGCAGGATCTTTAACTTCCTGAACAGTCACCCGGAGCCTCAGTTTAACATCTTATCCGAAGGACGGCACCTCCAACAATGCAACACCCCACCCAGCACTGCACTGGAGCGTCAGCTTAGACAATGTGAGTTCCAAGCCCCGACGTGGGGTTTGAACCCACAACCTTCTGACTCGGAGGCGGGAGCGCTACCAACCGAGTCAGGCTGATGAACCAAAAGCACGGGATTTATTCTAAGATAAATTTTATCATTTTTCTGTACAATTTTAAGACAAAGTGGTCTCACGGGCTAAAACTAGGTGGAATTTCATAGCTGAGAACTCAAGAGGTGATGCTGTGGCTGTTGACTAGCCAGCCTGGCTCACTGTTAGTGTAGAACCATCCTTTTCCCTCAACACTGAGCCAACAAATGAGCCAAGGTGTCCAAGTCACTGTCCCGCTACAGCTGTGTGGTGTGTGGACAAACTGAGACTCTCAGGTGGACGTTAAAGATCCCATGGATCAAGAGAAGGAGTTTCTCTCTAGTGTTCTGGGCCGACAAATTCCCCCCCCATAAAACTGGTCATTCTCTTCACCTGTGTTTGTGGGACTCCACCAGGCACAAATTGGCTGCCGTGTTCACTTACAAAATACACAGTCACTGCACTTTACAGTGAACCCTGTGAAGCACTGAGAGAAGATTTGACAGTGTGATAACAAACAACGACGGCGGCAAAGTTACAGGTGCATAGCGCCTTTCACCTCGGGAGGACGCCCCCAAGGTGCTTGACAATCAGTGTTTCGGACCCGAGTTGGTTGTTGGGATCAGG